AAAAAAAAAAAAAAAAATCAGAACGGTCACAAGACCGTTCTGACTGCAGGCTGCAGGCGCTATTAATTTTTTTTAAAATTATTTTATTTTTTTTATAAACCAACCGCTGGCCCGGTACACCTTGAATCGGCCCAAACCGGTTTCAAGTCCGAGCAGTCCATGATTCGACCTACACGGTTCATGGGTCGAATCACGGGCCGGTTCACCTCCGGGCGGGCCTGGACGGACCGGGTCTTAACAAGTTTACTAAAAACTAATAATTATAGGGAGCCGCTATTTACAATCACCATTTTTATATATCTATTCCTATTGAAATGGATTGCTGGCTTTACTGTGCCAAATGTATGGCAGGCATGTCTTGATTCTCAATCCCAAGTGGTCACGGATCACCAACGCAGGGAAAAAAAAAAACAATGGTATCTCTTTATGCATTTGCTATAATGGTATCTCTTCCATTATTGTTTTGAAGATGGATGATATTTTATGAATATTAGTATTTTTATTTAATTTTACATTTGTCTATTTAAGTAAATTTACATAAGGTTAAAAATATAATATAATTTTCTTTTGGGTAATTATATTATCACCACAAAAATTATTTACTACATCACATTATAATCACACCACAATTAAAATATATTTTCAATAAATACACCACAACAAATTTACAATTATATTCCTAATCCAATAAAAACTAAAAATGAAAAAAAAATAATATTGTAGTGTACCTATCGTACCAATATTACTCCTCATTTTTCCCATCTACAATTTCATGTTTTTTTTTCTAAATTTTAGGCTGCAATTGAGACTTCGAAATGCCTTACGTTTGGAAAACAAGGGATCTCTTTTCAACTGATACTGCTCCAATAAAAGTAGAGAAAGTGATTGCATTGTGTTTTGAGCATTTGTCGTCAATCTTCACTGGCTTGGTTACTTGGATTATCTTTGTTGCTGGGTGTTGAATGCTGCAAACAATGCAAATTACATTGCTTCAAGAGGAGACCTCATCGACGTGTTTTTGACAAAGAGATCGATAACCATCACGAAGAAAAAATGTTTTTATGTCAGATTTGTTGTTCCCGAATAGAGAAAATTCTGACTTCGAAACATTGCACAATTGACTTCTCTAATGAGGATGGGGCTCACTTCGCCAACAATTGATGTCGTTTGCACGATTGTTGAGGGGGA